TCTCCTGTAGCCTTGGAATGTGTATCACCTATCCCAGGTGTGTTTACCATTGGCTGATGTAAAGATGAGGCTGTGGGCCTTGGGCAGACGTAACTAATGTGGGGGAAAGATAATCCAGAGTTCCAGGGTCCACCAGGGGAGGCTTGTCTGGAAGTGAAATGTTTCTGTGTCCGAACGACAATTAGATAGCAGATCGCTGGGAATGTTAAATGCTGATGTTCTTAATGCCGTGGAACGTGGTGGGTTCATGATGGCATTAGGTATTCATTTTATTTCTGTGCATCCTTAAAAGCCAGCAATTTCAACTATTTTGTAGGCTTCAAAAACAGGAAATTGCTGCTTCAGTGTTCTATCATACTTTCCCAGAAACTTAGTTTATCTAAACTGCCTGGGACCAAATATTTTCCTCTAAGGCCACATGGATTCATGTTTCTTCTCCCTGCCTGGAGATTTTGTGGAGATACTGTTTGTTTTCCCTAATCTTAATGATTGGCTGTTGTATCTAGAATTTGATTGGCTGTTCTATCTAGAATTTTATATCATTCTGGACCAGTTTAGGAATTTAGACAATGCGAGACAGAACTGTTTTTGGAGATAGCCAAACTTTCTAGCTCCTTTGAAGATCAGTAACCACTGGGTAGCCTTGGTTTTCTTTAAAATTTTCTTCTGCTCATTGAAAAATAGATGTAGGTGATGCCCAGAAGGATCACACTGAAGTGTGCCATGAGTTAGGAGACCCTCTCCCCAGGCCACTGCATGCTGTTCACTGTGTCAACATGAAAGCCCCAGTCACTGTTTTGGGATTTTAATTTACAAGGATTTCAGGAACTGGCTACAGTCTTAAAGACCAGGAGACCTCCCCAAGTTTTTTCCATTTTCTCCCTTGAGCATCTGTCTTTTCCCATCATTCATAGATCAGTCTGATTTAGGTTGAACCACTCTTTGTGCACTGTCATTCCAGAGCCCATTTGGCAAAGTCCTCCGGTGGCACCGTTATTGGTCTGATGCTGATATGGCTGATTATTCTGATTATCCTGACATCTGGCAAACGGGCAATTTTATTTTGTATTTATTTATTCATCAGTAGCGCTTTCCAAAAGAGACTTGAAGTGGCTTATAAAAATGCATAACATGCAGCAAGATAAAATAAATTAAAAATGAGGACTGAGATTTGGGCAAAGGGAAAGTGCAGGTTGGCAGAGGACAATGAGGAGCCGGGAGCAAGGTGGCTGACATGACTTCTGTCTTGCAACTTAAATCCATGCTGGAGATGATGGCCCTTGGTGGGTGCAGAGTCCTCATTAGAGCTTGATTCTGACGACAGCGGTGAGCATCTCTTCAACCCTCCCATCCCTGCAGACAAGACACAAAGAATAACAATGATACTCCAAAAAGGAGGGCATGCACAGTGTTCTCAACTCAGAGCTGGGGTCATTTGCTAAAATCGTTATTTAACTTATATTTCTCTCCTCTCTTTGCCCAAGTGTAAGAGGGTAAGGTATGAAAAGCCACTAGCAAAGTCTTGGGCATAAAAGAGGTGCTCACTATGTGGTAGCTCTCCTTATTATTGTACTCAAGAGGCACGAGACAGTGTTTGGGAGCAAGACCCTTGAGTCTGACAGAGTCTGCAAATTCCCCTGCTTGGGGTTTACCCAAACCAAGTTACTTAATCTCTGCAAGCCCCTGTTTCCCAGTCTATAAATAGGAGTAACACGAATATGTTCTGTGTTGGGGTGTTGTGAGAAGTGAACGAGGCAGTTTGACATAAATTGCATAGAACAGTGTTTAGTACACTGAGTACTCTTTTAATGGCTGTCATTAATATTAATAGATTTTTTTCCCCCTCTCCCATTGGGCTTTTAAGAGGAGAAGAGAGATCACCATGTTATGGCACAGGATGCCACATTCGAGGTCCTTTAGTGCAGTCTTTCCATGTGAGGACGCAGACCCAGAGATGGGAGGCTCCTGCTTTGGTGGTGGCACCCAGGCGTGAGTTCAGGCCTCAGGGTGCTGTTCCCAGCCCTCCTACCACATACTGTCTCTGGCCCATCATGAGCCATGGCCACGCCCCCACCATGCCACTCCCCCACCATGCCACTCCCCCCCAGGGGAAAATAGCTCTCCCGTCCCTAGCAGAGACCAAAAGTGTCTCTCAGGGCAGCGGCACAATGTAGTTTGTCTGCGGACCTGTGCTTCCCCTGCTGGGGCTGCCTGAAGCTGGTCAGCAGTGTCCCATGTCCCAGGCCGACGTCATGGGCCGTGGTGCATGTGAGCAGAAAGCACAGGGAATTCGGAGCCAGAAGTCCTGGTGCCTTTTATTAACTCTGTGGTCTTGGGAAAGTGGGTTACCTACTCTGAGCCTCATTTTACTCAGTAACACAGTGGGGACAAATTAAATTTCTGAGTGGCTGAACCACCTAGTGGTTGAAGGATCACTTTCGTAACAATTGCACGTGTTGAATGTTTACTCTGTCCTAGGCACAGCGTGTGCTGGTTCTGTTGGTGATATCTTCTCCTTCTCACAGCACAGCTGGGCTGTTACTGCTACTGCCTAGATGTCGAAACTGAGGCTCTCGAGGTCCAGTAACTTGTCCAAGGTCACACAAATAGGAATGACTGAGTCTGTGTTTGGAACAAGCTCTGTCTGTCTTCAGCGCCTATTTCCTTAGCCACTGTGCTAGATTTCTGGCATTCTAGCCTTACCTTGATGCTGGGTGATCTTAGGTTGATCCTCGAGCCTCTGGTACCTGGGGGGGGGGGGCTTCTCTCTGCTATTCAGGAGGGTTTCTTCTGAGCAAAGTGGCCTCGAAGATGTCTCACAAGAACTTGAAAAACGATGCATATTTTTTAATGAGAGCAGGGTGGTCCATTGCTGGTGATTTATGTCTTTATATTCTATTATTGGTGGATAAATGATGTGCACAAATAAATATAAATAGTTACCTGATTCCCAGAATATCTGCTACAATGTCACCTTTTCAATGAGTCTTTTTTGACAGTCCTGTTTAATACCCTTCTCCGTACTTTGATACTTTCAATTCCTCACACCCTGCAGTATTCATTTTTCATAGCACCTATTATCGTCTATCATGGTAGAAAAACATATTACTTCTTCTTCTTCTTTTTTTTTTTTTTGAGACAGAGTCTCACTCTGTTGCCTGGGCTAGAGTGCTGTGGCGTCAGCCTAGCTCACAGCAACCTCAAACTCCTGGGCTCAAACAATCCTCCTGCCTCAACCTCTCAAGTAGCTGGGACTACAGGCATGCGCCACCATGCCCAGCTAATTTTTTCTATATATTTTTAGTTGGCCAATTAATTTCTTTCTATTCTTAGTAGAGATGGGGTCTCACTCTTGCTCAGGCTGGTTTCAAACTCCTGACCTTGAGCGATCCTCCCGACTTGGCCTCCCAGTGTGCTAGGATTACAGGTGTGAGCCACTGCGCCTGGCCTTCTTTTTTAAACATATATTGTACGTGCCTGGCTCCACTAAAATTACCACTCCACAAAGGCAGGGACCTCTGTCTGTTTTGTTCCAAGCAACTAAGAGAGCACCTGGCAGGTGGTAAGTTCTCAGTAGATTACTACTGAATAAGTAAATAAATATAGTCTCTTGTTTTCCTTTGGTCAGGATGATTTGCACGAACTCCTCTTAAGAATATAGCAAGTCATTGTTTGGGGAGAAGACCAGGATAAGATTTGGCCCTAAGTAAAAGAAAACAAACCAAATATTTACACTATCAAAAATTTAGTTAAGGGGGTAAAAAACCCACCAGATGCTGACCTTTATTCCATCATTAGATCAGCTCTTGTCAACATTGATCCAAATTTTACTTTGTTATTTATCTGAAGTCCTATGAGATCTTTCTCAAAGTCAGTTTTTGTTTCAAGGATGGAAAGAGGACACGAAGGATCACCTCTGAAGTTCACATTCACTATTTTCATTACCCCAAAACCCATCAGCATCCAAAGGAACAGAGACAGGATTGTCCGAATACCTGGCAAGAACCCCATCTTTATTAGCATTCTAAACTCAGTGTGATGCTTTGTCCCTTAATGAGCTTTGCAGGCTAATTCTGGAATGGCTTGATTTATGTATCGCACTGATTGATAATGACGTGGCATTTAAAAAAATGGGACAGGTCCTTTGGAATAACAGCAGAACTTGGAAACCAGGCTATGCTGCTTGGCAGGAACAGAGAAGAAGCAGCAACTTGGCAGGCAACAGGCTGCAGAGGTTCTAACAGTGCCTGCTCTCCGTGGGTCACTGCCTGGCACCCAAATCTACTGTGCTCATGTGGACATCAAAAACAACCCCCACAAGGTAGAGTGGATCTTGGAACTCCAGGGGGCTGCAGATTTGGAGATAAGATGATTCTAGAATGTATATGAACCTAGGAGCATGTCACTCATGTCATCCCAGAATTTAGAAAATATTTAATATAATTCTAAGTGTATGTCAGACTATGTGCAACATGCACTATGTAAATAAGGTCCTTCACAATAGTATTGTGACTTCGGCAATATAATCCCCATTTAACCAACAAGGAGGCCGAGGCTCAGAAAGGTTAATTAACTTGCTTAAGGTCTGAAGGGATTTAAACCTATGTCTGCTTTCAAAGCCCACGTCCTTAATACTACACCACTATCGCATCTCCAACAGAGGGTTTTCTGGCTCTGCCTGAGGCTGACCTAGGTTTCCAGTTTGGGACCTGACAGAAGTTTGGAAATGCCTAATTGAGTTCTAGCTCTTGCCTGTTTACTAATAGTGAAATCTGGAGCTAGTCACTTCATCTCTTTGACCCTCATATTCTTCTGTCAAAAACATGTGCTTCCAAGGACTTCTGAAGGATCAAGTGAAATAAAGTTTGTGAAGAATGTAAAGTGCTTCACAAATGTAAAAGGTTATTATCATCACTGAGCCACAATCAAGTCAAGCCAGGATCACCTGAATTTATCTTTAATGAGATTTCATTCTATTATCATTTTTAAAATTTCCACAGATGACCTTGGCTTCATGGCAGAGAACGGCACCGTGGTTATGGGATTCGTGCTGGTGGGCTTCCGGCTGGAGGCAGAGCTGCAGATGGGTCTCTTCTTTGTGTTCCTGGCCCTCTACCTCATCACTGTGGGGAGCAACCTTGGCATGATGGTGCTAATTCAGAGTGACCCTCGGCTCCAGACTCCCATGTACTTCTTCCTCAGCCACCTTTCCTTCCTGGACATTTGCTACTCTTCTGTTATTGTCCCTCAATTGCTTGTGACTTTGGGGACAGATAAGAAGGTCATCACCTATGAGCGCTGTGCCAGCCAGTTCTTCTTTTTCACCCTCTGTGCCAGCACTGAATGTCTCCTTTTGGCCGTGATGGCCTATGACCGCTACGTGGCTGTGTGCAGCCCCCTGCTCTATGCCATGGCCATGACACCACACACCCGCCTGGGGCTGGTGGCAGGGGCGTATGCTGGTGCCATGGTCAATTCCATAGTCCGCACTGGGTGCACCTTCTCCATCTCCTTCTGCAAGTCCAATCGTGTAGACTTCTTCTTTTGTGACCTCCCACCACTGCTGAAGCTCGCCTGCAGTGAAACCAGGCCACAGGAGCAGGTAATCTACATCTTGGCTTTCTTGGTCATCACAACCAGCATTTCAGTGATTCTCATATCCTACCTATTCATCATTCAGGCTATTCTGAAGATTCGTGCAGCAGGTGGCAAAGCTAAGACCTTCTCCACCTGTGCATCTCACATGGCTGCAGTGGCTCTTTTCTTTGGGACACTCATATTCATATACCTGAAAGGTAACATGGGCAGATCCCTTGGGGAAGACAAGATTGTGGCGGTATTTTACACTGTGGTTATCCCCATGCTAAACCCAATCATCTACAGCCTGAGAAACAAGGAAGTAAAGGAGGCTATGAAGAAAATTTTCAACAGGATGAGGGTTTCCCAAGCAGAGTAAGACTTGAGTTCTATCAATCCAGAAGTTTCTGCCAATCATCCTCTGGGCTTTTGTCTTGTCCTCTTGATACATGAAATAGATCTCATAATTACAAAGACATACAAGGCAAAAAAATGAGATTTGGGTTCCAGTACTTTCTTAATTAGATCCATGACCTAGATCCAGAAATGCTCTGCCTCAGTTCTTGGCTCAGTAAAAATTTCTGCCTTCCTGCGATTAAATACCAAGAGATCTTTAGTCAGGATCAAGAGAGATGGAATGCCAAAAGGCTCTGTAAATAATAACATGTTATAAAATCTAAGATTTGTTTTTCTTATCTGTCCTGGGTATTGTTGGGTATTTTCTCAGCTACTTGAATTTTTTTTTTTTTCTACTAAGCTAATTTTTGTACCCAGAATGATTACAAAACAATAGCTTGTTGTTTACATAACAAAGGCAGTCAAGGGTTGTGGATGTTGGAGTAGATATCAGCCTTGATCAAAGAAAACATTTCTTAATATTCACTCACATCCAATTTAGACATTTGTCATGGAAAATTCAAACAGCTAAGCAGGAAAAATATAAAGAGGGGAAAGGAGACATGAACTGGGAAATGTTCTGCTAGAATATGTGAGCCTACTTCCTAAGATGGCATAGAGCGCCAAGACATTGCAGAGTTAAAGACAGATGTAATGATTTGCATTAATTATTAGAAACAATTTGATCTAGATGTAGGGCTGAAGTGAGTCCCATATATAACTTTGTAATATTTCTTGATCACCAAAGGTCAGAAGCTCTATTTTATTTCTGAAGCATTGTTCATGGACCATCTGCCTCAATTAACTCAAGTTATTTCCTGTTCTCCAGTAATGAAAACCATTATCTACTTTCATCTCCTCTAGGACATTTACTTTATTGTGAGAAGACAGATAACTATGAATCTGACTGCCACCTTTAATGACCCCCACATCTGCTAGAAATGAGAAACATCTCCACGGAGACCCCACAATTTTATTCATCCACTCAGCAAATATTTACTATCTACTATGTATCAGACATCATATTAGGTTTAGAATATAGTAATAAATAAGATAGACATGGTTCCTTTTGTATGGAGATTAGAACCTAGAGCATAGACAGATAATAAACCATTACACAGTCAATGTTTTTTGTTTGTTTGTTTGTTTTTTTACAATTTTGGAAACTGGAACAAAAGAAGCAGCACAGGGTATTGTGATTGTTATACTGTATTATAGGGTTTTGGCCTAGTTTGGTGAGGTCAGAAAAGGCTTCCCTGAGGAGTCGACATTTAAGCAGAGGCTTAAAGACTAAGTATGCCATGGTCATGGGTGTCAGGGACTGGATAGGATTGCAAATGCAATGGCTGGTGGAATGGAAAGCATTGAGGAGCTGAGAGAAGCCAGAGTGAGGCTGTAGCATGAGTGAGGGGGACTTAATGTGAGATGCAACTGGTGAATTCCAGAGAAAGCAGGTCACAGAGCCTTGCAGATTTGTTTAGGAACTTGTGGACTTTATTCCAAAAGCAGGGTGTGAAATGGCCAGATCTGATTTTCAAAAAGCTCCCTTTGGCTGCAGTGTGATGGGTGGAAAGGAGGCTGGTGGTGGTGGAGATGGAGTGAAGTAGACCCATTTTGTCTAAGAAATAACAACTGGTGTGTGCTGGTGCATGGCATTTGATTTCTATGCAATACTGTATGCTTCATCCTAGAATACATATTAGGCTAGAGAAGGTGCATGGCCATGATGTTGGTCTAGGACTGATTCTTGGCAAAATTGTGAAATAGGTTTTGATGGTGCCCACTTTTTTAATGGTGCACTTTTCCTCCCGTAAAGTATGAGCTTCAGACACCCTTTCATCAAAATGATCATTAGCTAATACTTCTTAAGGGGTCAACACATTTTCATTGACCTCCTACTATATTCCAGGCTGTATTAATAGGCTTAAGAAACCATCCTTTCAAGGCTTCTTTTGTACTAAATGCAGGAAAAACCTTCAAATCAAAAAACAAAAAGAAAATGGGCAAAATGCTAGACTGTGGCTTTGCTATTTTGGTAGTGGTGGGAGCTACCTCCTTCTCCTCCCAATTTGTGCTTTGTAAGTGGCAACCAACTCTGCCTATAAATGAATGATCTTTGATATATAGTATCTGATGTATGTACAATTGTTTCAGGTACACACCAGGTGGATAAAAATAAAATGAGGTTTTAGTTTTAGGGGATCACCTTCTGATTAACGTAGAAGGTACTGCAGAAAATGGAATTTATGCTGTATTGCTAATTTCATACATTAATAAATGAATGAAAACATTCGTAAATGACCTAATATGTGTTGGGTTCTGTGCTAAGAGTTTTCGCTTACCTCATTTAAAGTTCTTATTCTTAAAATAAAAAAGTCTCATTCTTAAAATAAACTCTATACATAATCTTTTAGAAATAGAATCCAGTCAGTAATTTTGGTGTTGTTTTCTTTTTCTTTCTCATTTTTAGGTGTATTTCTTTTAGAAACTGGGCTTTGGAATTAAACATTTTTAGCTATAATATATTGGCCTCAATCTTGGTAAAATGAAGAAAGCAGACCTGTAAACTCTGAACTGACTCATTAACATCAATACATCAAGAGGCCAAAGCACTGTGTTCTTGTGATCACTTAGAGCAACGCCAATATTTTAATTGTGGATTCCTATTTTTCACATATATTAATTTGAATGAATGAGTATATGCCAAATTAACTAGATTATCAGCATTAGGTCATGGGTATAGGTGGAAAGATGGATGAAGTATAACCCATAGCGCACGTGATCTTGATCCTTGGCAGAAGTGTGTAAATATATATTACTTTTGTGTATGGGTATGCATTTTTGGGGGAAGAGTAGTTATACTTCAGATAAGAGCATAAACCACCACACACACTTTTTTTTTTTTAAGTCATGAAGATCAACACAGGACAGATAGAAATACTTCTCAGACTTCTCTTTCTTTCCCCCTTGCTCTAACCCTATTTGTCTGACCTACAGGGAGGGGAAAATGCCATCAAAGCCATGTGCAAATAACCACAAGAACAGAGCTGCCAAGGCGCCCACGCCACCACCCACTGTGGATATCCCATGCCTTTCTGGCAGCCATGAGGGTAGAGGGCAAAAGGGAATGAAGGAAGCATTTTGGTTTGAAGGTTTTTACTGGCGATGGAGTTCAAAGAAGGTAAAGTACCTCTAGGTTCCGAATCTCATTTTGCCTGATGTCGAATTCAAACCTCAAACAAAATTGTCTCCTGAAACTTACTTAGATAGAGAGTATGAGGAGGATAAATCGCCTGAGAAACTGGGGAAAGCTGACAGAAGTTGAAAGGGAAGTAGGCTGTCTGCTTCCCTGTAGTGGATCTGCGAGGTTGCTTGTGGAGATCAAGATGCTTCACGGACATTATACAATTCATCCTTTTAATCCTTTTGGGAAAGAAAATCTCAGCTATTTCCACTCATCTCTTCTTCAAAAATCATGAAGTTTTCTGAAAATAGTTGTAAAGAACATTGTGTCTTTTTCCTTTTTCTCGACATATCTTTGTTCTTATTTAAAACATAATAGTGCAAACACAAAAATAAAAAAAAATGACTGTAACAGCCATAAAAAAGACTGTGTTTTATCTTGTAGTGGAATGAATATCTGAACCCTTTCTAGTTCTACCCTTGCTAGCTTTGCTCCTTTGAGTTTTTAATCGCCCCCTCCCCAATATTATAAAAATAGCCTGGCTACACCTGTAGCTTTATTTATTCACTATAATAACACAGTCTAAAATATTTTATTCATAAACTCAATAAATGGACTCTTTACTGAGGGGCTGCTCTGTGCTGGGCACTCTGTGTGGCACGCACTTTGTTGACCTTATTCCTCACTGTTCTCCCAAGTGTGTAGCTTAGGACTTGGAGCATAGTTGGCACTCAATTAACTTAAAAAAACAACATTCCGTTTGATTGCTTAAATTTTTTTTTTTGTGGCAAAATGTACATAACATTGAAACTTAAATGGTTAAAATAAATTCAGCATTTTAATCCTGTAAGTGTACAGTTCAGTGGCATTAAGTAATTTCACATCATTGAGCAACCATCCCCACTACCCATCTCTAGAACTTTTCATCATACCAAACTGAAATTCTGTACCCATTAGATAACTCCCCATTGCCCTCTCCCCCGAGCCCGTGGAAACCATTATTCTACTTTTTTATCTTTATGAATTTGACTATCCTATTGATAAATACCTTATGGAAGGGGGATCATATAACATTTGTCCTTCTGTATTTGGCTTATTTCACTTAGCATGATGTTTTCAAGGTTCATGCATGTTGTAGCATGCATGTGTCAGAATTTCACTGCTTTTTATGGATGAATAATATTCCATTGTACGTATGTACCATGTTTTGTTTGTCCACCTGTTGGTGAACACTTGGGTTATTTTCACCTTTTTGGCTATCATGAATAATGCTGCTATAAACATGAATGTACAAAAATCTGTTCAAGTCCTTGTTTTCAGTTTTTTTTTGCATAGTATATACTACCTAAAAGTGGAATTGTTGAATCATATGGTAAATCTATGTTTAACTTTTTGAAGAACCACCTACTGTTCTTCACAGTAGCTACACCATTTTACATTCCCACTGGCAATGTATGAGGGTTTCAATTTTTCCACATCCATATCAACACTTATTTTCCTTTTTTTTTTTATAATAGCCATCCTAATGTGAAGTATTTCGTTGTGGTTTTAAATTGCATTTCCCTAATGACTAGTGATGTGATCCTCTTTTCATATGCTTGTCGGCCATTGACATATTTTTTTTTTGGACAAATGTCTATTCAAGTTCTTTGCTCATTTTTAAATTGGGTTGTTTGTTTTTTGTTGCTGAGTTGTATAAGTTCTTTATATATAGCCATGCACCATGTAAGGAGGTTTCAGTCCACAACGGACCACATATACCAAAAACAGTGGTCTCCCGTAAGATTGCAATGGAGCTGGAAAATTCCTATTGCCGATTGACATCTAGCCATTGTAAAGGTGGAGCACAACACACGGCTCCTGTTTGTGGGGATGGCTGGTATAAAAAACTCTGCACCACCACTTATATAAAAGTACAGCAATACAGTTATGTACACTAAGTAATACGTGATACCGATAATAAATGATCCTGTTACTGATTTATGTATTTACTATACTATACTATACATTTCATCATTATTTTAGAGTGTATTCCTTCTCCTTACAAAAAAAAAGGTTAACTGTAAAACAGCCTTAG